GGGAGGAGGCTAGCAGCAGCCACTCTGGTCGTGGAGGGGTGTCTCAGCAGAAGAGGATTGCGACTGTGTGGCGTGCTGCATCGGTCATGCTGTTGGCGTGCTGTGCCGTGCCGTGCTGTGGCGTGGCGTGGCGTGTGGCGTGGCTTGGCGTGGCGTGGCGTGGCGTGGCGTGGCGTGGCGTGGCGTGGCGTGGCGTGGCGTGGCGTGGAGTGGCGTGGCGTGGCGTGGCGTGGCGTGGCGTGGCGTGGCGTGGTGTGGCGTGGTGTGGCGTGGCGTGGCGTGGCGTGGCGTGGCGTGGCGTGGCGTGGCGTGGCGTGGCGTGGTGTGGCGTGGTGTGGCGTGGCGTGGCGTGGCGTGGCGTGACGTGGAGTGGCGTGGCGTGGCGTGGCGTGACGTGGAGTGAGATCAGGACCTGCGTGGCTGGCGTGGCGGCCAGCACCTGTGGGTGAAGAAGGGAAATCGGACAGAGCAGAGAGCCGGACATTCTCGCAGTGAGCGCAGTGCAAGACCCTCATTTTTCCTACTTGCTAAACCGTCGTCTTGCACTGCGCTTACTGGGAGAATGTACAGAAATCAGCCCCCACCTGTGGGTGACGAAGGGTGAGCGACTTAGTGGGTGGCCGCTGATTCATTCAGCACCTGCTACGTGAACAGAGAGGGGAGAATGAGGAGCAATGGAGACTTTTGAGTCGACTCAAAAGTCTCCTTTTGAGTTGACTCAAAAGTCACCTACAGAGAGGGGAGAATGAGGAGCGATGGAGACTTTTGAGTCAACTCAAAAGTCACCTACAGAGAAGGGAGAATGAGGAGCGATGGGCATGGGGAAAGTGGCTGTTGGCGAGACGAGGAGTCCGTGGTCGCCACCTGTGGGTGAAGGCGGAGGTGCCGGGTGGTGGGGTGACACACTGGTGGATGGGGTTGCATGGTGGTACCAGTACCAGTGAAGGAACGCTAGGGTGGGTGGGGATGCCGGGTGGGGGTGCCACGGGGATCAGTGGGTGGGTGCTAAGTGAATGCTTTGTCTGGCACCGCTGCCTTATGAGGGTATTTCGCGTGAATGTCTCACCTTGTCTGGGTATTTCTCGCGAATGGCGTGCTTGACTTGCATGGAGTTGCAGAGCAGCAGCCACTTGATGGAGAGGGTAGAGGGCACGTACCACTCCTGCACTCGCTGCATGTGGGGGCGAGGGGCATTGGAGAGCAAGGGAGGGAAGGCGGTTGGAGTGGGGGAGCAAGAACAGGAGCGATAGAGAAATTTTATAACAGCAGGCCCAATTCATGCAGCAGCCACTTGACGGAGAGGGTAGAGGGCACGCACCACGCCTGCACTCGCTGTGTGTGTAGGGGAGGGGGAGACAGAGAGAGAGTGGGGGGAGGGAGAGTGGTCGGGTTTCAAGCCAACAGCCATCTTGACAGTGAGGGTAGAGGGGACGCACCACTCCTCTACTCGGTGTGTGTGCGGGGAGGAGGGAGACGGGGAGAGAAAGAGTGGTCAGGGGGAGAGGGTAGTGTGGAGTGGGGGCACCTGCACTCGCTATGTGTGTGAGGGAAGGGGGTAGATGGAGAGCAAGGAAGGGAGCGATGGAGAGATTGGATAAGTGGGCTACCGAAGGAAGGGAGGAGGTATGAGTCCAGAGAATAGCTAAAGTGTGCCACCTCAATCGTTCTTTCAGTTGTATTTTGAGTCGACTCAAAATACATCCAGAGAATAGCTAAAGTGTGCCTCAATCGTTCTTTCAGACATTGATAAAGGCCCGCCCTCCCCTCCCTCCTGTAAAACCCATCCCTTACCTTTGCACACTCAAGTGCTGGTTGACTCTCTTTCACCACCTCCGTCCCTCCGTCATAAGAAAGTGACAAAGGTGCACCCTCCCTCCCTTCCTCCCTCCCTCCCTCCCTCCCTTCCCTTCCCTCTCTGATTCCGCCTCCCCTCGCCTTAGCGCACTCTAGAGAGTGGAGTTTACTTGCTCCAGCACCTCCCTCACTCACTCCTCAGAAAGTGATAAAGGCGGCGCAGCCTCCCCTCAATCCTACCACCAGTGCCCCTCCTGCCTTGGCAAACCCCTTCCTGCATGAGGAGTCTATTTTTGAGGTGCCTAAGAATAGGAAACCACCTTCCTTACCTTTGCACACTGAGATGTTGATTTAACCGATTCCTTCCACCACATCACTCACTCTCTCACTCTCTCACTCACTCCTAATCCCCTCTCTCACCTTGGCACACTCGAGTGTGGGTTTCACTTCCTCCACCATCTCCCTCACTCGCTCCTCAGAGAGTGATAAAGGCATGCCCTCCCCTCCGCCCCCCCACACTGCCCTGTCCTCGAACCGGATGTGCAGGCCAATCACAACCGTCCGATCGCCCCTCAGCTGCTGATCAAACGGCCGGATGAGTTGCCACACCTCGGGCTTTGGTCTGGAGGCTAGGAGGCGCGGAGGGAGTAGATAAGACGGGAGGAGGGAGTTGGGAAGAAGGGGGGGGTTGGGGGGGAGAGAAGGGATACTGGGGGTGTGCATGGGTCGAAAGAGCAGAGGAACGCAGAAGAGGAAGAACAAACGAGGAGGAAGGAAGAGGAGGGATGCCAAGGAGAGCACCTGAGCTGAGAAGGAAGCATTGGAAGCTGCCAGTAGCCAGCTGCAGCCTGATTCCCTGCTGCCCATCATGCCCACCTGACAGACAACCTGAAAATGCACCTGAGAAAGCACCTGAGCAGGAAGCGCAGGAAGCAGCCATTAGCCAGTGGCAGTCTGAGTCCCAATGCTCTCAGCCTTAAAGCTCACTCCCTGCCCCTCATTCCCCAACCCACCTGACAGAACACCTGATAATGCACCTGAGAAAGCACCTGAGCAGGAAGCGCAGGAAGCAGCCGGTAGCCAGTGGCAACCTGAGTCCCAATGCTCTCAGCCTTAAAGCCCACTCCCTGCTGCCCCTCATCCCCGACTCCCCCTCTCCTGCTCGTCCTGCTCCTTCCCCAACCCCACCTTTCCCTGTCCCTCCCTCCCCCTCCCTATCCGCGTTATAAGCCTCCAGGAAGAGCCTAGTGAGCACGCCCCGGTTCCAGCGCAGCAGAATGTTAGCGGCGGGGGCAAGGCGGGCAAAGAGGGGCTGAAGGTCCACGTCGCGGTTCTTTAGGTTGAGACGAAGGACCTCCCCTGCCTGGACTGCTGCATCTGGCGGCCCCGGTTGTGCCTCACTCCCAATGCTGGTGGTGCTGCCAGCACCAGCATCAACAGGCGGAACATACGTGTACTTCCTGGAAGGTTCCATGGGAACGTCGTCAGTCAACCGCCAGTCCACGTGGGCGGGCTCAAAGGCTTGGGGCAGGCACGGGTGGTTGAGGATCAAGGCACGTCCGTCCAAAAGTGCTACAGTGAACGCGGCAGCTAGGCCAATCAGAGCGTCGCCCAGCCCCCCACAGCCGAAGAGAACCTCATAGGTGAGAAAGCGGAGAGGGGGAGGGGAGGAGGAGGAGAGTGGGGGTGAAGAGAGGGGAGAAGTAGAAGGAGGAGCAGCAGCAGCTGTAGCAGCAGCTGTAGCAGCAGTGGCAGCAGTAACAGTGGCTGTAGCAGGGACTTCTCCACTTGCTTGGGCTTGGGCCTGTGCTTGCCTTGACCTGCTCTCCTCCCTCATCCCATTGTGCAGTGTCACATACTCCTTCCACCAGTTGCCGCAAAGGGAATCGGGAAACCCAAAGTGCAGACGGGAGGAAGGGAGGATGGAGCCCTGCGTAAGAGAGAGGGTATGGGAAAGAATTAGGATTAGGGAATAGGGTGCATGGGATGGGTGCATGCTGGCGTTCCGCCTCACATATCCTTCCACCAGCCGCCACGGAGATGCTCCGGGGAAGGCGCAGTGCAAACGAGAGGAGGGCGGGACGGAGCCCTGGTAGAGCGAGGGGCCACGCGGGGGAGGGCGAGACGGCAGGCGCGCTAAGATGGGGCAATTCACCCTCGATGGCTGTGGGAGACGGTGTTGGAAGCAGGGACAGAGAGAAAGGAACGAATTCTAGGGAAGGGAAAGGGTAATGACAGAGGGGAAAGGGACCGGAAAACACGCGAGAATAACAAACGGGAGAACGGATGATGGATCCAGAACGCTCACCAGCGAATCGCAGTTTGCCACGTCCTCGCCCTGAGATGAGTTCGGTCGCAGCAGCAGAAGCAACGCGAGCAGGGAAAGCCACTGCGCGCAGCGCGAGTTGATGATGCAGCGAGGGCTTGGTCGGGGGATCCTTGCACGAGGCGCCTCGAAGATGGAGCGATCATGCATCGAGGCGCCTCTTGACGCGGCTAGCCGCCGCGATGGCCGCCGTGAATCTCGCCGCGATCTGCGGAGGAGCTGCTGGTGAACGGCAGGCGCCGCTGGGCCAGTCATACGCGTTACAGTATGAATATCCATCATGGAGTGTGGATCATGATGCCATTATGTCATACGGCATCCCGACATTATGGGAGAATATGCGGACACTCTCGAAAGAGTTATCAGCACTGCACGAATCATCACTAGGACTATGTGTGAAACGAAGTGGACACACCGTTTGTCACTCACGCTGTATCGGGGTGATTTCTAGTAAATATCCATATGATGAGGTAATTTTAGGGTTTAGCGCATTCGACGAGCCTTGTCCCATTCGAGCGGATAACGGGGTCAGCACAAGGGGATGATCGCGAAACTCTGCTGTCTTCGCGAAACTCATCTCGTGTGTGTAGCGTTCGGCTTCGTTGATGTCGTCAATCATCCCTTGTTCTCCCGTGGTAACACCACGACGAATATCCGCTAATCGCAAATCCAAGACCCCCGTCGCGAAAGTTTTTCGCGCATCGCAAAAGCCTTTTACGCATCCTTTCGTCTCAGCTCTGCACCCCTGGCTCCAGGTGCTAATCGGGTAACGGAAGGGTCTCTGATTGACCGTCGGGCTACAAGCTACCTCGATGTAGTCAGTTGACCTTGCAGAATCATATAGTGTCGTGGTAGTCGCGGAATTGGTTATTTCTTTTGCGAGCATAAACTTTTGCGATAGATTTCCCACTCAGCGAGTCCTGCTCACCAGGTCCCGCGCTCCTCGCCGAATTCTGCGCGATCCCGCCGACGGCAGAAGCTTTCGCCTCGCCTCATGTCACCACGACGCCAAACTGAAACGTTTTCTGCGCCATGCCTCCTAGTTTTCTGAGACGTCTTTAGAATCCTAGCTTCTTCCGCGGTCATCCCGCTGACGGGAGATCTCACCTCGCCTCCCGCCTTTCTTCCTGCGCTATCCACAAGGAGCGGGTCTCGCGTCGCCTCATGCCGCCATGGCGGCCGTCCTTTGCGGCGCTCGTGCGGCCCTCTGTTCACCTGCTGCTGCTGCTCGTCTGCCTCTCGCAGGTGGGGCGGGAGAGGGGCAATCGCAGGGAGGATGTAACATCTCGTCCCCTCGACCACTAGGAAAAACGAGTGTTGCTCTGTGGCGCAGCGGATGCGCTACAGAGGATTAGCGAGAGAGGTGTCAGGTGGGTGTTGTCACCAGCGAGGGATACCGACCAACCTGAGACGGCACGGTGCAGGAAACTGTCAGATTCTGCTGCTAGTATCACCTGCAGGAAACTGCGATTCTGCTCCTCATCTGCATCTCGCAGGCGGGACGAGAGAGAGGCTATCGCGGGTCGGTCGAGAGAGCTGCAGGGTGGGTGCGTCTCACCAGGGTAGGACGAAAGAAGCAATCGCAGGTGGGACGAGAGAGGAGCACTCGCGTGTCGGTGGATGCGTTTCACCAGAGTGGGTTACCAGCCACCCGGGGTGCAGTGGACTATGGGATTGTGTATCAACGGCCATGATCACAACTTGTGATTCACAAGCAGTCAATCCCTTTATCACTCCGCCCCACACACACACCCCCTCCCCCCTCCCCCCTTCCCTTTCTTTCTCCCTCTCCTATCAGGCCTATTTCCTCTGGTGGGGAGTCAATGTCGGCTCCCACGAGCACATCACCCACCCGGGTGCAGCTGACTGGCAAGTGTAGTCATTCCTTCCCCCCTTCCCCCCTTCCCCCCCCTTGTCCCCCCTCTCCCCCTCCGCCCCTTCATTCGCCCGCTCCTCGCAGGCGTACTTCCTCTGGTCGGGGATCAGCTTCGGCTCCTACACAAGTGCCGCCCATCCTCGTGCAGGCGACTGCGACATGCAATGGCAAGGGCTGTCATCGCAACAGGTGTCGCTGCGTGATTCGCCGGGGAGAGCATTAGGCGTGGACGAATCAGTGATGCCGGCAGGTGAGCTTCAGGCGTCGAAGCCGGCAAGGTAAGGCTCACACACAATAGTAGTAGATGAGTTTTGTTTCGGTGTGCATCGGAGGTGGTTGGGGGGAGTTTGGGGAAGATATATGGGCAGATGCGTTCTATGGGGAGATCTAGAAGCAGAGCTGCATTTGAGTTGATCGTTTATGACTAAAGAAGTTGCAAAGAGTCGGTTTCTCATTGCTAGGTTCTGCTTGGACCGATCGGCTATGGCATCCATCATGTGCTTGTGCCCATTTTTGGTGGTCTTCATGCGTGTATGGCCCCGAACCGTGCCTTGTTTTTGTCGATGTTTTGTTTTCTGCCCGAACAGTGCAGCAGGTGAAGCGGGCAGCACAGGGGTTCGCACAGAATCTCTCTCAGCGAATGGTGCAGCCGGGCTGATTCGTTTGGAGCGTGTCCTTAAAACGAGGATAGCTACAGTGGATGCCATGCTGAAGAGCTTACAGCAAGAGAAGGCTGAAATGCGACAGGGGAGGGAAGCAGTGGAGGAAAGGGGGAAGGAAGACAGGGCGCAGGGGAAAGGCGAGCGGGGCGGAGAGGAGGAAGAGGATGATGATTTGCTGTCGTGGGTTGATGCTGCTGCTGGTGGCGGCAGTGGCAGTGGAGGAGGGGATGGGAAGGAATTGGTGGTGGAGGGAGATGAGGCGAAACTTGATGATGAGGAGAAGGCGAATGAGAGGGAAAAGGTGAGGAAATGGGCGGAGAAGAAAGGTTCCTACAGGGAGTGTGTGGCAGGAGGTTCCTTGTTCACAAGGAAGAAAGGGGGAAGGGTTGACAGCGTGGCAGAGAGACATTGGAAACAGGTGGTGGCGGTGGAGGGAGATGAGGGTGCGTCCACGAGAGGAGGGGGGGAGGAGGAGGAATGACTCTTGTGTTTTGAGACCTTGAAAGCGTTATTATAACTCTCCTTAGGGGATGATTTTCTTATTGCCCGCAACCACCGGCCACGTTTTTTTTTTGTTTTTTGTTTTTGTTTTTGTTTTTTTCCACTCTTTCCCCTTCATTCTGAATTTCCGCTATGAACTGAGCGCTCACAAATCTCCCTTGCTTTGCTCCGTCTGTTGCTTGCGTTGATGCGTTCCTTCACTCCCCTCTCACTTCTCTCTCAGCATATCTCGCTGTACCCCTCCCCACCCACTCAGGTAGCCAACTCCACTCTTCTCTCTTCCCCGCCCACCTCCCTCCCTCCCCACCTCTCCCTCCTCCTCTCCCACCTCACTCCCTCCCACCTGCCCCCAGTCTGCCGCACCAACCCCATAACCCACTCCCTCTCCCCCATCACCTCCTCTCTCTTCCCCCCTCCCCCTCGCCTTATCCCCTGGACCCCGCACCCCCACCGCTACCTTCTTGCAACCTGCTCCTATGGCCGCACGTCCAACCACCTGCTGTGCATAAGAAGGTTGGTACCCTGCTCTCCCTCCGCCTTTTCTGTACGAGAAGGTACCTTGCTCTCGCTTCCCCCTCCCCCTGGCACCATCCCCTAGAAGCCCCTCACCCGCACCGCTATTGGCCTGCAATTTGCACCTTTGGCCGCACCTCCAACCACCTGCCCTGCATTTGGCGGTAAGTACCTTCAAACATGCTCAACGGAGGAGGGTAAATTGTAATTGCATACCTTTCTGCACCTATGGCCTCGGCATTAACCGCCTGCTCTGCTTTAAAAGTTGGGTAAGACTGAAGCGTTCACTCTCTTGCAACCTTCCCCTTCGCCCTCCCCATGTATGGACCTTGCCTTTGCTGCCCTCCTCACGGCTCCCTGCTGTTTCCCAGGCGCCTTCTAACAATCTGAAGCACTCTTTTCTCTTGCAATGCTCCCTTTGCCTCCCCAGGTACTTCGCCTTTGCTGCTCTGCTCAATTGCTCCCCGCTGCAGCCAGTAGTGCTGCCTGCTGCTGCTGCTGCTGCTGCTGCTGGCAGTGCTTCTGCTGCTGCTGTTGCTGCTGGCAGTGCTTCTGCTACTGCTGCTGCTGGTAGCAGTGAATCTGCTGCTTGGCGCTCACACTCTTGCATGAGAGGTGGATGAGGGAGGGGCGTGGCTCACACTCACGGTCTTATCTAACAACCAACCACCTCCCCTGCCTCTCCAGGTACCTTGCCTTCGCTGCCCTGCTCAACCGCTCCCTGCTGCTGCCAGTAGTGCCGCGTGCTGCTGCTGCCTCTGGTGCTGCTTGGCACAAGGGGTCCTCCTGGTTCAAAGGTGATCCGAGGCAGGGGAGCAGGGTGGCCTTAGGCTCTGCCGCTGCTGGCTCCTCCTCCTCCGTCTCCTCTTCCTCCTCCTCGCGCAATTCTTTTCTCTTCAGCACCACTCCCCACACCACTCCCCACACCCTCCCCCACACCTCTGTGAGCGGCCTCCCTCGTTCCCCTTCCAGCGCCACTCGCAGGCGGCTCATGGCCAGATCTCTCAGGCGCCACAAAAGTACCATCTCCAATTCCTCTGTGAGCGGGCTTCCTCGTTTTAGTTCCCGCGTCACTCGCAGGTGGCCCATGGGAGGCCAGGGAGGGGCGAGAAGACTGCTTCCTGATGCAGGGGGTGGGAGTTGGAGGAGACTAGGAGCAGCGTCACGAGCTGCATTAGGTGTACGTGAGGGGAGAGACCAAGGGGTAGACGTGGACGTGAGAGGGGCGAGGGGGCTGCTTCCTGATGCAGGGGCCAGTGGGAGTCGGAAGATATCAAGAGCAGCAGGGGGATCATCAGCAGCATCATCATCATCAGCATCATCATCAGCATCATCATCAGCAGCATCATCAGCAGCAGCATCATCAGCAGCATCATCAGCAGCATCAGCAGCATCATCATCAGCATCATCATCAGCAGCATCATCAGCATCATCATCAGCAGCATCATCAGCATCATCATCAGCATCATCATCAGCATCATCATCAGCATCATCATCAGCATCATCATCAGCAGCATCATCATCATCAGCATCATCATCAGCATCATCATCAGCAGCATCATCATCAGCAGCATCATCATCATCAGCATCATCATCAGCATCATCATCAGCAGCATCATCAGCAGCATCATCATCAGCATTAGGTGTACATGAGTGGAGGGACCTAGGAATAGCCGTGGACGTGGGAGGGGCGAGGGGACTGCTTTCTGGGGCAGGGGCCAGTGGGATTCGGAGGAGACTAGCAGCAGCAGGCGTGTCAGCAGCAGCAGCAGCAGGGGCACCCGAGTGGATGGACCTAGGGGTAGCTCTAGACGTGGCAGCCCTGCAGCAGTGCGTGGGGCAAGGGAGGGTGGTGACTGTGGACGAGTATCTCAGAGGGAAGGGCAGTGGGAGAGGGGGAGAGGAGGGGTGGCTGGCAAGATTGGGGGGGATGGGGAGCAGGAGTGGGGGGTGGTGGAAGCAGAAGGGGAGGATGAGGGGAAGGGTGGGGAGGGTGGAGGTGCGGATGTGGTGGTGGTGGCATGGCGGCGAATCCGTGCTCGCCACGTGTCAGCGGTTCATTCGTGTGGCTCCATGGGCGAAACTGTTACCGCATGATAGTACGGATGGTGCCACACATGGGGATTCTACAGGCGGTGACACTGATGCTGGTGCTAATAATAGTGATACCAACGATGGTGCTACTAACGATGGTGCTACTAACGATGGTCGTAGTAACGGTGACAGTGTTGATAGTGGGATCAGCAGCAACGACCCCGCTCATCTCGCCCGCATGTGCGCATCGCCCCCCATCCCTGCCACCAACGCCTCCCTCCGCCAGTTCCTTGCCTTCTTTGCCCGCCGCACAGAGCCGGTCATAGGGCTGGGAGACGTGTTCGAGGTGAGGGGGAGGGTGGATGAAAGGGAGATGGAGGAGAGTGTTTCACAGGGACCTTCAGGGAAGCTGTTGGAGGAGGAAGAAGGAAGCCGCTTCAGCACAGAGAAACTGCTGGAAGGCCATGCTAGCTCCGATGAATCGCCTGGTCTGTACAACGGTGTCAACCGTGCTCTCCCCTTAGTGAGAGGCGCTCACGCAAACTCGCGAGCAGAGAAGATGCTTCAAGCCCATGCTAGTTCTGACGGTCTACCCGGTCTCTACGATGGCCTTAACGGTGCCGTCCCCGTTCTGCCGCCCTGCCGCCTCGCCATGCGCCCGCACCCCGCTGTCCTCTCCGCCGCCCATGCCTTCGCGCGGCATGTGCTCGGCACACGCTTTGCCGCCCTGCACCTGAGGCGGACGGATTTCGAATCTCACTGTTCGAGACCGAACTTCCGCTGCTGGCTGCCGCTCTCCCAGATAGCCAGATGCTTGGCTGATCGGATCAATGCGCTCAATGCTGCTGCTGCTGCTGCTGCTGCTGCAGGAAAGGAGGGGGTCGAGAGGAGAGCAGCTGGGGGTGGTGCAGATGGCGGTGCTGGCAGTGGAAGTGGTGGCAGTGGGAGCTGGCTGCAGCAGCATCAAGTGCGGACGCTGTTCATTGCCACAGACACCTCAGACCGGGTGAGAGGTGCACACAGCAGGGCTCAGGTGGTTGAGAGCAACAGCTGTCCAGGTGGGTGAGAGCAAGAGCCGTCCAGGTGGGTGAGAGCAAGAGCCGTCCAGGTGGGTGAGAGCAAGAGCCGTCCAGGTGGGTGAGAGCAAGAGCTGTCCAGGTGGGTGAGAGCAAGAGCTGTCCAGGTGGGTGAGAGCAAGAGCAGTAAGAGTGGGAGGAGGCAGCATCAAGTGCAAACTGATGAGGTGAGGGCGATAGTGCACGTAGAGGTGAAAACTGCACGTAGACGGACTCGATGAGGTGAGAGTGTTTGCGAGATGTGTGCTGGTATTCAAAGGTTCAACCGAGTGCGTTTTCTCGCTTCCTGCCTTCTCTTTCTGAACCTCTGGTGCCTTCTCTCTAGGAGTAGCAGAGCTGCAAGCAGCGCTTGACCCCACGGCAGCATGAGTACCACCATGGAAGAGAATGCCTGCGGGCTGCAGTGTCAGAGCTGGCTGTGGGTATCTCAACTTACTCCCTGTCCTCCCGCCTGTGACCCACCACTCGCAGGAGCTCCACTGGTTCTCTCAAATGCTCAAGTGCCTGGTGTGGGGCGAAGTACTCACAGCACAGTACCCTCGCTCTAAATCAGCCGCGCCAGGAGCAGCAGAGCAGCAGGCAGCGGGCATGCTGACTCACGGCAGCAGGAGAAACACCACGGAAAATATTGATACGTGTCCGCTTTTGAATGGACTGAAAAGCAAAGATACGACACGAGCCCATACACAGGTGGTCTGGGGCACTCCTTTGAGGCCACTCAGAACACCCTTCTCCTTCTCCTTCTCTTTCTCATTCTCCTTCTCCTTCTCCTTCTCCTTAATTTTCTCCTTCTCCTTCTCCTTCTCCTCCTCCTTCTCCTCCCTCTCCAAACCCCATCCTTTGCAGGAGCTCCTCTGGTTCTCCCAAATGGTGAAGTCCCTGGTGTGGGGCGAACTGCTCATAGTCCAGTACCCGCACGCCAAGTCGGCCACGCCAGGGGTGGCAGAGCTGCAGGCAGCGGGCATCTTGACCCACGGCAGCACGAGAAGCACGGTCGAGAAGATGATCTGCGTCTATGCGCACGTGTTCTGGGGCACGCCCCGGTCTACTTTCAGCAAGGATGTGATGAGAATGAGGGGGGCATTAGGGCTGGCGCACTGTGGGGATGACTTTGTGTGCGGGGAGGAGGTGACTGAGGACGAGAGGTTGGGAGAGATCAGGAGGAGAATGAATGCTTGAGTAGTCTGCTTCCCACATGGGCAATCCTCACATAAGACTGGCCTTCCGACCAGGGTCCTCCCTTAGCAGACAAAATCCGCATATTGAATTTTAGTTCTTCCTGATTTTCCAGGAACTATGTGTCAAACATATTTGTATATGTTATAATAGGCTAGATAGGTGCATGCTCTTAAAGGGTTCAACCACTTGAACAAAATCAACCTGTATGCCTCTTTCTAGTCAACTTTCTACTCTGAGATGGTATCACACGATAGGTTAGGTCTGTTAGAATACGTGAATGAATTACTAGAGGTGAAACATGGAACATATAGCAGTTGGGTTGTACTCACTAAGAGCACACACCGATACTAGCCTATAACTTCTACAAGCATGATATGTATAAGTTGACACACCCCCTAGGCTAAAGAAGGGGTGGTGCAAGCAAGAAGCACACAGCTCAGGGTGGCACTACTAGTCCAACCACTGAGGCAGGGGTCCAAAGACCAGTCAGCAAGAGTACAGACAAGACAAAAGCAAGCCAGGGCGGCACTACTAGTCCAACCACTGGAGACAGGTATATATAGTAGAGAATACACAATCAGGGTCCTAACAAGTGGGTAGCTACAAGAACAAGACCAAGCTGTACACAGTGCCACTGATGATCTTTAGACGCAAGCGCCTTCATAAAGATATCAGCTGTGTTGGCACTGGAGGCCAAGTGAACTACACGGGCCTGGCGACGCTGCTGTAGCTCGCGCAGGAGGAAATACCGCAGCTGGATATGCTTCGCTCTGCCCTCAAGCCGAGGCTCCAGACACAGGAGGATCATGGCCCTGATGTCAGCATACAGGACCGGGGCAGAGCTAGGCCGCTCACCTAGGTGTCTGGGTCACCCTCTGGGACTAGGAGCATGGAGCAGAGATGGGGAGCGGCCTCGAAAAGGAAAGCAAGCTCGTACTGCCTGTCCTCTAGCACGTCACTGCCAAGGGCAGGTGCACCCCGGACGGACGCAGGACGAGCAGGGTCAGAGACCAGAGCGGTAGCGTAGTCAAGGCGACGGGTAGAGGCGAAGTCAGCGACAGCAGCGACAAGCGCGTCAAGGCGAGAGACAGGAACAGCAGGGTCGGTAACAAGAGAGGCAAGGACCCGAGGGATAAGGGGACGAGCGGCACGGAGGTAGTCAGACAGCGGAGGAGGTGCAACAACAAGAGACGAGGGAGGAGGCGAGGGGAGGAGGGGAGGACGAGACGAGTGAGAACGGAGTAACATAGGGTGGGAGCGCGGGACAGGGGAGACGGGACGAGCACGTGAGGGACGGCGAGACCAAACGTGGGATGGAGGTGTAGGGTTAGGAGACAGTGGAGGGGACACAAGGGGGGAATGAGGAGGAAGACGGGCCAGAGAAGAGTCCGGGGGTGGAAACACAGGGCCGTAGACAGGAAGGGGAGGAGGAGGTAGGGGAGACACCGGCGAGCGGTCAGGGGAGGGAAGGCCGAGCAGGCGAAGAGCGGAGACCGGCGGCGACGGCTGCGGCAGCTGGTGCGGCGGCTGATGCGGCGGCTGGTGCTCGACCCTCAAACCGGCAGGGGCACGACAACCTCCGGGAGAACACTCAACAGCAGCACCCCCAGAACTAGCACCCCCAGAGCGAGAACCCTCTCCAGCCCCAGCGGCACCCCCAGGCCCGCCGGGACAGACAACGCCAGGAGCCGCAGGACGAACACCCTCCTCAGCGCCAGCACCCCCAGAGGCCAAGAGCGGCAGCGGCGGCGGCGGCGGCGGCGGCTGCGACGACGGCGGCGATGGCGGCGGCGACGGCGGCGGCGACGATGGCGGCGACTGCGACAGCGGGGGCGGGGACACCAGGGAAGGGGAACGCGGCAAAGGCGGGGCGGGGGGACCACCAGAGTCAGCAGAATCCTCAACAGGGACAACTGACGGGAGGGGAGTGACATGGGAGACACTAGACGGGGCAGGACGAGGCGGGAAGGCCTAAGACAAGACCGTGCTGGGACATGTGACGCAGACGCGGGAGTGCAGGGTGACCTAGGCGGTGGTGCCACAAAAGGGTTGGGTGAGTGAGAGACCGACACGAGCATGCTACAGCGACCTGGGAGGACGCACCAACCGGGGGGGGAGCGGTGTCGAGGGTAAACAGACCGGACACTGGGTCCCGGGGGAACGTTGCAAGGGGGGAACCTGAGACAGCCTCGGTACAGACAGCGAACCGCTCGTGCCCAGGGAATGTAGTGGTGACGCCGAGGTCCTGAAGACAGCCGACACCAACCAGGTTCCTGGAGAACGAGGGAACGTGAAGGCCTGTAAGGGAGCCCGAGGGGACGGCTGGACAGGGAAGGGAAGTAGAGCTGCGAGCGACGACAGGACCCGCAGAGGGGTCAGCGAGAGCGACAACAGCAGGCGCGGCAAGCGGCATGAGCGTGGAGCGGTCGCGGAAGAAACAGGCAGAAGCACCGGAGTCAAGAGTGAAGGACAACGGGCAGTAGCAGAGGCCGGGGACGATGCAAGTGCAGGAACGAGGCTAGGCAACCTAGGCAGTCCTACGCCTGACGTAGCAGGGGAAGCTAAGCTACACAAGGGTGCTACATCTAAACTAGAGTACAAAGGATAATACGATCCAGCAACACTAGAAGCGTCAGCATACAAAGCATGCAAAGCAGCACCTATCTGATCCATATCTAACTCAAAGATCGGTATGCCCTGGCGAAGCAGGCTGTGCCAGTCGGGGAGGTCCGGGGCCGGGCCAAAGCGACGACGAAAGAGATCGTCGAGGCGGCAGAAACAGCGGGCGGTCAGGTGCGGGCGGCGGCACAGAGTGCCGCGGAGAGGCCCGGTCTGAAGCTGGTACTGGCAGGTCACAGCACCGGAGCTGCTGGTAGACGCCAAGCTGCGCGGGCCACCACCACGGCCACCACCTCCGGAGGTGCCGGGCCAACCAGGCGGGAGACGAGCCCACGGCTGCTGCGGCTGCTGCTGGGACGGCGGCGTCTGCTGCGGGGGCTGCTCTTGCAGCGAAGGCGGCTGCGTCTGCTCCTGCCCACCGGTGGTAGTCCCCTTTGGGGGACTATCGTCGCCACCACCACTAGCACCACCACCAGCGCCACCACCACGACCTCCCTGACGGCCACGGCCAACGCGGCGTGGGCGCTGCTGCGGGTGGACCGCAGCAGCCGTCTCGGTAAGAGGGGTTGCAGTGGCGACCGCAGCCGAAACGTCAGTAAACGTGCACTAGGAGGGGGCACAGCCGTGAAAGATAGAGACTGCCGGTGCAACGCTCGACTGAGCGATAGTGCGCTGGCGAGTCTCGATCTCGGTGAGGGTGTCGACAAAGGCGGTCAGGGTAAGGTCACCCGGGTGCTGGCTAAGGAATCGGTCGCAGGCACTAGCTAGGCGGTCCGGCAGGCGCATGGCGATAAAATAGAGGGTCATGCAGAATGGGGGGGGGAGAGCAGTGAGCTGGGCAGCAATGCTGGCAGTGCGATAGCGAGACTCTAGGGCACGCAAGTGAGTGGCAAAGTCTGCAACAGTAGGGAAGGCAGCAAGGTCTGGGAACAGCATCGGGAAGAGCAAGCGGCTGGCAGAAGCGGATGCAGGCATGGAATAGTGAGCAACAACAGCGTCTAAACAAGCTTTGGCCGTATCAACCGTAGCGAAACGCGAGCGCTCAGACACAGGGAGGGCGTGACTGATAGCTACCTGAGCTACTACATCGCGTGAGTCCCAGACCGCACAGGCAAGCGCAGCAGTAGAGAAAGCCTCACTCTCAGCGGAGGTGGGGTCAGCAGGGAGGGGAGCAGGTGCAGGGGGGCGGGGGAGCAAGCCATCAGCATGGACAACCAGCGAGTGTCCATCCTGGCGCTGACCTGTAAGCTGACGGCGGAGATCGGAGAGCCAGGCGGCGAAGTCAACCGCGTGGCCCTCAGCGTCCAGGCGGAGCACGAAGTCAGCCATCGTGCAGGGTCAGCAACACAGCTCCTCAGCGACACAGCGGCACAGCTCCACAGCTCGGCAGGAGCACAGCGGCACGGGGACACGGCGGCAGCACTCTCCAGTAGGGCGGCTGCAGGGGCGCCCCAGCGCAGGCTAGCAGAGGACACGGGGCCCGAGGTGGCACGGCAGGCCGAGCAGGCACGAGGAGGGGCCGGGCGGGCAGAAGGAGGGGCCGGGCGGTCGCACTGGGGGCCGGGCGGGCGCGAGGAGAGGCCGCGCGGGCGCTGCTGGGGCCGGCTAGGAGCGGGCTCGACGGTCAGTGGGCCGGCAAGGAGCGGGCGTGTGGGGCCAGGGGGGGCCAGCTAGGAGCGGGCGCGACGGCCAGTGGGGCCAGCTAGGGGCGGGCGCGAACGGCCAGGGGGCCGGCAAGGAGCGGGCGCAAACGGCCAGGGGGCCGGCTGGGGGCGGACGTGACGGCCAGGGGGCCGGCTAGGGGTGGACGCGACGGCCAAGGGGCCAGCTAGGGGCGGACGCGACGGCCAGGGGGCCGGCTAGGGGCGATCGCGACGGCCAGGGGGGCCAGCTAGGGGCGGACGCGACGGCCAGGGGGCCAACTAGGGGCGGACGCGACGGCCAGGGGGCCAGCTGAGGGCGGATGCGACGGCCAGGGGGCCAGCTAGGGGAGGACGAGACGGCCAGGGGGCCGACTAGGGGCGGACGCGACGGCCAGGGGGCCAGCTGAGAGCGGACGCGACAGCCAGGGGGCCGACTAGGGGCGGACGCGACGGCCAAGGGGCCAGCTAGGGGCGGACGCAACGGCCAGGGGGCCGGCTAGGGGCGGTCGCGACGGCCAGGGGGGCCAGCTAGGATCAGACGCGATGGCCAGGGGGCCGACTAGGGGCGGACGCGGCGGCCAGGGGGCCAGCTGAGGGCCGACGTGACGGCCAGGGGGCCGGCTAGGGGTGGACGCGACGGCCAAGGGGCCAGCTAGGGGCGGACGCGACGGCCAGGGGGCCGGCTAGGGGCGATCGCGACGGCCAGGGGGGCCAGCTAGGGGCGGACGCGACGGCCAGGGGGCCAACTAGGGGCGGACGCGACGGCCAGGGGGCCAGCTGAGGGCGGATGCGACGGCCAGGGGGCCAGCTAGGGGCGGACGAGACGGCCAGGGGGCCGACTAGGGGCGGACGCGACGGCCAGGGGGCCAGCTGAGAGCGGACGCGACAGCCAGGGGGCCGACTAGGGGCGGACGCGACGGCCAAGG